TAGATTTTCAAACTTGCAACTACACCCCATCCTTCAATAGCTAATGCAACGCCATAAAGCAAAAGAAATGCACCACTGAGGATAGAAAGTAGAACAATTTGTCAAGTACTTAAATATTCCAAGGAAAAATGATGATAAGAACATGAATTTTTTGGATAACATGATAAAAATTCATTAAAAAATGAGAGAACTCCAACACTTCAGCATACAGAGAAGAGTTCAACACAACCTGACGTTTTTCCCACAATCTGTATGTGCATCGTATACATACACAGGTAACACCCTTGGGGAATAGACTACTATTGAAGGTGAAAGGAGCACCTAGAGAAGACAATAATTACTGAGTTATTAAAGCAAGAAAACATGTCAAGAAGAAATAGGAAGAACATCTCACTGTGGGAGAGGGCCAACATAACAAGCCATTCCCTAAATTATTATTTCAAGAATGATCAACTTACAGACAATGCCCTTCCAGCTAGTAGGAAAAGAAATGAGAAGTAATGTTGCTAAGAGAAATTATTTGAGGCCCAATACTGAATTGCACCGATAGCTAAAACTAGAAGGAGGAGAACTAAGAGAAATGTTGCTCCTATCTGTCATAATATGAAGTGAAACTCCTTAGAGATAAACAATAATACGAGATAAATTAACCAATAGTATTGACTTACCCTCCAAGGAGTCAGAGTAGACTGAAGATGACTTGAACTGAGCATCTAAGGAGTCCCGAGCATTGGGGCATAATAAGCATAGTAGATTTTCTAATGTAGCCAGCCCATTGCATATTTCTTAAAGTTTGGATAGTGTTGTTGGTGGGGGGAGGCCAAGAACATTACAACGCACATACTTAGTTCTCTATATCTAATAAACAGAAGTTAGAAGTTAAATCGTACCTGAGTTAAGGTAATGAAAACATGAATGGGCAAAGAAGCATCGGGCCCTCTGGCTTTCAGACAAAATTGTGGGTTCTGATGCCATGTATCATAATCCTGGCAGCCACCAGCACTACAACCTCGCCACTGTCCATGAACAGAATAACGCATATCCGGTGGATACACACGACAAACATAAATAGACCTGAAGTGTATTTGAAAATCTGGCCAAGACATCCAGAATATGCCATCTTTTGCCTGTGTTCAACATTAATCAACGAAAAGACTTGTAATCCTTGCATACAAAACAAAGTTATTTTTATTCATAAAATAGAGATAGCACACTACGACCCAAGTACTTAATATAAATATTAAATACAACAAATAGAATCAGCTACCTGGGGGACATGTTGGAGCTTGTGTTTCATCGTCTGTCCATTCAGGCGATTAATTAGATCAAGGACCATTCCACTCAACCTCATTTGCCATGGGTTTCTGATCTGAACAAGTTTATAACCATCTACTTCTCGTACCTTAAAAGACACATGCCAAGACAATGAATAAAAAATGCACAACTAATTCTTCCTTTGATGCCAAAAATAAAAAGTTCTAGTAATATATTTACTCTGTCCCATAATTATATTCACTCTTTGCCTTCATAGAGTTTAAGAAAAGTGTTTTAAAAGTAAAGTGTGGTTGGAATTTGTTTAGAAGAGAGAAAACCATTGTGAGCAGCATATTCATTGCCTTAAAAGGAAATGAAAGAAGTGTAAAGATTATCTTGGGAGGAACGGAAAAGTAAAGGGTGAAGTTAATTTTGGGACAAAGGACGTTATTATATCTTCATGCATACGAATAACAACATATGTATGTAGGTATGTGTTACCTAAAAATTATACTCATCCTTCCTAGTTCCTAGTGTATTCGTCTAGTTTGACTTTTAATTATCAATTATTCTTAAATTGCATCGCATTTAATACACAAAAACAACAACATTACCCCCAATGCCTCAACGGCTCCCGCCCATTGCGGGATGGGGGGGTCGGATGTACGCAGTCTGACCCCTATGTTTAAAACAATGTTTAAAACATAGAGCGGCTGTTTCCAGAAGACCCATGATGAGCGTCGAAAGTTGCATTGAACAACTGCTACTACACAATTGCAAGAAGCACACACAATTTAGAGAGCCAATTTACTTCACAAATAGTGTATTGCATTTAATCCAATAAATTAAAATTTTAAAAGTTCTATACAAGATAAATCTACTGGAATAATTTTATACAAAAATACATTACTATTTTTATTTAATTGATGCCCATAGTTTGTCGAATTTGACTCAAAAAAGTCAAACTAGACGAATACACGGGATGGAGGTAGTATTTGATATACCTGCAATATTGAGTAGGCATGGCCTTGAACAATACCACCATAGTTTGTAAGGCGTCGCCTAGGCGTCGCCTAGGCGATAAGGCGCCATCACTGGATCGCCTTGTTTGCTCGCCTCGCCTAGAAAACCATAAGGGGACCAGGCGGTCGCCTAGGCGTCGCCTTTCCTCGCCTTACCCCGCCTTAATTCGCCTTACCTCGCCTTGATGCCTTGGGCAACTTAAACATTTTGAAAAAACCCATTTTTAGTGCAGCCCATTTTTTTTAGTGTAGCCAAATAGACTTAAACCCATTTTTTTTAGTGCAGCCCATTTCCTTAAAATGTATAAGACCTATATATAATTATATACATATATAAATATAAATAAATAAATACACACACACACACACACATATATACATGTAGGGATGTATGTCGCCTAGTCGTCGCCTAGGCGCGCGCCTAGCCGCCTAGGCGATATGAAGGTGCATTGGCGCCTCGCCTCGCCTTGCCGCCTTACAAACTATGAATACAACTCGAAGAAATATGCACATCTGAACCTGAAGCACTACCAGCACCAAGTAGAAAACCTTCTTGATTGAACCGTAACACTTGAGACCATAACCTTCCACTAGCAAGATCGATCTGTGCTTCAGTACTTCTCATATCAATTTCCTCACCCGCACCCCCAGTGACATCAACAAGAGCATCTTGGACAAGTACACCTTCCAATGCCTCATAAGAACCATGAAGCTTAGCATAAGCTTTTTCCAAGATAGAGACCAACAATTCATTTTTCTTCCTGCTGGTGGCAAATGCAGGTTTACCAGGTGACTCACAGGGTATCCAATCATCAATAACAACAGGAACCCATTCCCCCTGAATTGACAAAGCCAAAAGTGTGCAAGTAAAAAAAAGTCATCAAACAAGAGTTCTTCAAATGCCATAGAGTAAAATGGAAAAATTGACCCAAAACTAGGCCAGAAAATAGTGAAAATCACCAGAGAAACACCAAGTGAAATATGTATATGTTTATTCACTTGCATTCCATAATTATATCAGGTGAGCTCTATGTCTATATATAGTCATTTACACATAAAAGTTAAGAAAATATAATCATTAGGTGATGCCATTACGATGATGTCACCCCAATGATTTCATATGTTTGGAAAGTCCTAGTCTCCAAGGAAGCTAGATCTTTACTTCTCTTAATAATTTTACATATATGAATGATGGCTCACCTGGATACAGAAACGAACTGTGTATATTCCTTCCTCATTGTATTCAGGTGTAATTATAACTTCCGATATTCGTGAAACCTCAGTTAAAACAGCAACTGCACTCAGAAACCAACAATCACCCAGTCGTCCCTGAAATGTTTTAGTGGCAACGTTAATATGGTAATATACACACACAAACACACAAGTGATTTGTCTCCATGGAAAGGAAATTGTAGGGGAAAGTCCAAAGAAAGACTT